ATTTCTAGATTTAAATTTGAAACAAATTTTTATGCTACAAGTTATTAAGCTAATAAAAAAGCAATTAATCTTATTTATGAAATAACATCACTATATGCATGTCTCTATTAAAGTCAAATTATGCAGTTAAAGCTTTTATTATTCCTTTTTGGTAGCCATAATTGCGAGAGTTAATTCGAGCAATTAATGCTATTGTAATTTTGGAGATGAAACCGTGACTAATTACATAAAATTGTTTCGGACATGAGGCAAGTAATTGCTTCATAAATTCGATTTTTTTTTATCGACATTTATAATTTATTTTCATCGATTTATTTTATGTTTAATTGATTAATCGAAATGAAACGAATATGCAATTAAAAAAAAGCGAAATATTAATTTAATGAAGAATGTTAATTTATATTTTAATCATTTCCAATTATAAATAAATATTTAGAAACGCAAAGATTAAATTATCATAATGTTAGTATTAATTATACAATATTTTTTTGGATCATCTATCATCATTTTAAATAGATGTGATTTAACTCGAACGGAAATTGCAAAATTTTATCGCGATTTATTGATTTATTGATTTCATAATTAAATATCTGAAAATTAAACTCATGTGCAAAAAATATAATATATCTTTATATCTTTAGAATTATAGAAATGGAATTTCTTACAAATTTTATTGTATACTTAATTGAGTACTTTTGTATCGATAATTATAGCATTATCATCTCTGATTTTATCTTATGAATTTAATTCAATATGAGCTAGAATTAATAAAGAATAAAGATTTTTAAACTAGTGCATTTTTAAATAATATTTTTCATATTACTCATATATTTCATATTACTCAGTTATCTATCTACCTACAAAAGACAAATATAAAAATGAAATTACTTCTAAATCTATTTTATTTTTCTTATAAATCAATTGTATAAAATTCTTTATATCAATTCTAATCAAATGAAAATTTTTTCAATCTTTTTATATTTTATTCTTTGTTTCAATTATCAAATGTCAAATCAAAGATATCTTCGATGAACACAATACGATAATAACTCGATAATATTAACGACAAAAGAAAACAATTCTAAGAAGAATTAAAGAAACAATTTTTTTTGCGATCAGAATACAGTCATTGAGAACTTCTGTGTGGTCGAAGAACGCAAGTTGCAAGCAGGATAATCACGTGATCGATGATCAATACGATACTTCAAATCTTATTCACAGTTCAACGGAACTCTTCGTTGCGGACATATCGAAGATCTTTCAAGAATTCGGATTCGTGTCTGTACGGAAAGCAGGGGTTGTCCAACTTGGCAGTTTTGTCTTCTGTACATCTCTCAGCTGTCAACCCTCATCGAATATTATTCTTATTCGATCGTCCTTATATTTTCTATTATCCTAAAAGGCAAACTTTATTTCTTTGTTAAAAGAAAATATTATCAAATTAATCATGGATATTAAACGTGATACCATCGAGAGAACTTTGTTTAATTTTTTCTTTTTTTTCTCTTTTTTTTTTTTTTTTTTTTGCTTTCTTACATATTGTACACATTGTGTATTTATAATTCGTCGAATCCTACTCGAATTGCAGCTTACGTATCTAACTGTGAAAAGGGTGGGCCCCCCTGTCTGGGGTTTTTTTTTGGTTTTTTTTTTTTTTTTTTTTTATTTGGCAGTTATATAAAGACCGTATCAGTTCCACGAGAGACCTTTAGTGGCGCGATAATGTTCTCGATTCGATCGTACATAATTACGCCCGCACACAAAGCGATTATAATTATCATTATTATTATTATTCATTTGTTATTAACATATGTAATATTATTAACAATATTATCATCATTAGCATTATTCAATCATTATTATTATTATTATTATTATTATTATTATTATTATTATTATTATTATTATTA